TTATAGAGGAAAAAAAAAAGTTCATAAGTTTCTTCAATTCAATTATGCTTTAATAGAAAACACCTTGCTGAACTTGTCATTGTTCTTGGTCGTCAACAACATAGCGACAATTACGGGAAATTCCCTGTTTTTCATATTTTTATGAGGAGACTTTCGTGAATAAATCAACAACTATTTCATTATTGTGGGCTTTATAATTGAATAAAGTTGAATAAAATTGTTGGTTTATTTACGAAAATGTCATGTGAGACTATAAGAAACTAGGGCATCCCTGGCGATTACAGTGGGAAACAAAAAATGTAAACTAACTGATGAGCAACAAAAGGTACTCCTAAATGTATTTTCTAATGACTTATTTGTATGATTATTCTGTTTCAGGTACTATGGAAAGGAAGTCGAGGACATAAGTAAAGCGAAAGAGTTTAGCGAGATAATTAGAGAGGGATCAGCGTTAAGTGCAGCTGATAATCCAGGAGATTTTCTTCCTATGCTTAAGTTTATGTTTCGAGGATTGGAGAAGAAGATGGTTGCATGGATGGACAAAACGGACAACTTCTATCAACAGCTTCTAGACGAGCGAAAAGGTCGAGTGCACATAAATGATTCTAAGGCTATTATTGATGTACTTATTTCAGCTCAAAAACAGGACCCTGTCTTTTTCACCAACGAAGTCATAAAGGGCATGGTTATGGTGAGTACAATTGATCTAATGTACTTTCTCTGCCTTACTTTACATGTAACACTAAGGCTATGTTTAGATAACAAAAAATGAAAGGGAAGAGAAAGGGAGGGAGACAAACTTTCTTGTTTGGATAATATGTTAGGGGAGGGAAGGGGAAGAGGAGGGAGGGATCTATTTTCCCTCCTCCTTTAATAAAGACCATCCTTACACTTGACAATGCACAATTAAAACAATTAATATCTTTGGTTACTGGTAAAATTTATCAAAATTAGACTTTAATAAAGTACAAATTGAAATAAATCTAACAAAGTAAACAAAATCATATTGGGTCTAAAACGTAGAGATGCGAATTGAAACATGGTAAAAAGGGAAAGTAAACAGAAGTAGGAGAAAGATGAACTAACACCTTGAAATAGAAACATTCCACGATACATAATGTGTGGTTGGTGCACCCAGGTGCACCATGCGCATGGTGTATCCGCAAAGAACAATAAGTATATTTAAAAGAATTTGAGCGAAAAAAAATTATACATATTTATATTATAAAGAATGCGAGCATAATATATTTTTTAAATTTAATTATTATATTCTTTGAGTTTGAATTATATGTTCTTTACATTATAGAATATGTTCTTTAATGTATGTACATTAAAAAAAAATCACCTAAATAACCAAGAAAAAGAACATGTTCTTTAATATATTATCATGTTATTTTTGTAAAGACTTTATGTTCTTTGACTAGAGGTGATCAACATAAGACCGTCCCGGCCCGATTTTGAATGAGATTTGGTAAGAATTTTTTCTTCCCCAAAATCGGGTCGGACCCAGCCCGTAAATTAATTTTTTGGGCGGGTTTGGAAATGCATATTTATGCATTTTAGTTGCTTTTTTTTTATTTGACCCGAAAAGCCCGCACGGACGGACCATTTTGGGCGGGTTTAGGAACAAAAATTTCGGCCTAAAACTTGGCCCGACCTGATAAGTGAGCTTATTTTTTAACGTTGGTCGGCCCACCTAATGATCACCTCTATCTTTGTCAAACACAAACATGTTATTTTTTGTCAAATATAATGTTTTTTTCAAACACGTTCAACTACCCGAGTTACCATAAGAAATAACATGTTCTTTTTATAAAGATTTTATGTTCTTTTTAATGTCATGTTCTTGTCAAACACAAACATGTTCTTTTGTGAAACACATGTATATTTTTTTTCATACACTAAAATGTTTATTTTTTTGCCCATGTTTTTTAAAATATGTCTAATATTCATTTCGGGTTCACAATACGCATGGTGCACCTGGGTGCACTATACTATTTTCACAATACATAACCTAAGAAAGCCATTTTTTTTAGTTGATTTTGAGTTTTCAAATTTTTCTTTTGAAGGTACTAGTACTTGCTGGAGCAGATACTACAGCAGCAACCATTGAATGGGCAATGGCACTTCTCTTAAACCATCCAAAAGCAATGAAGAAGGCACAAAAAGAGATAGATGAAGTAGTAGGACATGATCGCCTCTTGAATGAAGATGATGTATCCAAATTAACTTACCTTCAAAATGTCGTAAATGAAACACTTCGTTTATACCCACCAACACCACTTCTCCTTCCACACGAGTCATCGGAGGACACAACTATTTGTGGCTATGATGTGCCCCAAGGAACAATGTTAATGGTAAGTTTATGGACCATCCACCGAGATCCAAAGACATGGATGGAGCCCGAAAAGTTCATTCCAGAACGATTTGAGGGGAAAGAAGGGGAATCTCTTTATAAACTATTGCCATTTGGGCTTGGAAGGAGGGCTTGTCCTGGGTATGCTATGGGTAAAAGAGCGGTATGTTTGGTGTTAGGGTCAGTACTTCAGTGCTTTGACATGGAAAGACCTGATCTGGATATGGTTGATATGTCTCAAGCCACTGGACTTACAATGCCTAAAGCTAAGCCATTGGAAGCCTTGTCTAAAGTTCGTCCGAGCATGGCTACTTTACTTTCTAACGAATTTGGAGTGTAAGTAGTAATGGGTATCAAAGAGTATGAATTTTTAAATCTTAAGGTTCTTTTATACCTCTTGTATTGCAAGTCTGAGAAGACTATAATAAAATATGTTGGTACACTGGTACCAAAATGTGTTCAACTAAATAGTATATATATAAATAAATAAATAAAATAAAAAAGTCCATTTATAGATTATACAATAAAATTTATTTGGAAAAATTAGAAAAAATAATCCCAACTTTCATCAATTTTGATAGAATAATCCCAACTTTGGATTATACTAGAATAATCCGAACTTTGGGGGTAATTCTTTTTCTTCAATCCTAAATCGGTCAACAAAAGTCAATGACCTGATATTACAGGTTATATGCCACGTGTCAAAATGCAATTGATTCAAAAAAAGAAAAAAAAAATTTAAAAAACCAGGAAACCCTTATCCCCCCTTCCTGACCCCCGTAACCCCCACCCCCACCACCACCACCACCTGCCACCGTCGACCGCATCAATCTCTCCCTTCCCCTGCCCCAACCGTGCGCCTCTTTCACCCCAAACCCCAGGTGCCGGTGTCGTGACCCACCTCCACCCCCAATCCCCTCCTTTCCCGATTTGGTTTTCGGCCCTCCATAACCGAAAACCTCTTTAAACCCCCTCCATCCATTCGAAACACCCTCAAAACCCCTCCCCCACTCCCGAAAGTGAACTGCTAAACATCGCCCGCAAATCTCCACATAAAGCCCACAAATTAAAAGTGAAATGACTCTTTTGCCCTCGAACTAAAATTATATTCTCTCTACTCTAGTAAAAAACACACTCTCATCTTCTCTTAACTTTGTAGTCTCACTTTCTCTCTCGAAAATATTTTTTCAAAATGTCGAGGCGGCAAGGCAGGGAAGTGGCGGCACCGGTGGCCGGAGCAAGGGGGTTTGGAGGAGGAAAGGTATGTTTTTTTTTTGTTAATTTTTTTATTTAAAAAAAAAAAAAAACCGGAAAAGGTGGCGGCCCGGCGCCGACTGGTGGCTGGACGGCGGCGAATGGGCGGCGGCGTTTGGCCCAGACGCCGACACCACGGTTCCGGCGCCTGTCCCAGACGCCATTGCCACGGTGATGGCGCCTGGGCAGGGCGCCGGTACCACGGTGGCGGCGTCCACGTCGGACGCCAACACCGTGGCACCGGCGTCCTGCCCAGGCGCCACCACCGTGGCTCTGGCGTCTGGGACAGGCGCCGGAACCCTAATTTTTTTATTTTTTTTTCATTTTCTTTTATTTTTTTTTTGAATTATATTTTCAATTTTTTTTTTTGCTTTTTTTGTTTTTGTTTTTCCGTTTTATTTTTTAATTTTTTTTTTACTTTGTTTTTTCCAATTTGTTTTTTTTGGGTAATTTTTTTTTTTGCTTTGTTTTTTCCAATTTTTTATTTATTTATTTATTAGGTTATTAATTTTTTTATTTTTAGGTTGTTAATATTTTGTAATGTTTTTAATTTATTTTCCATCATATGTATATTGTTTTATTTATTTATTTTAATTACTTTTTTTATGTTTATATTACATGTTTATATTGCATATTACATGTTTTGTTATTTTGTGTTAGGCATCGTATTTTCGTTCTGGGGCTGGGAAGAGTATGGACATTATGAGAAGTACGATCAACTCAATGGAGAGCTCGGGGCCCAGACACGTTAGATCCCGTGGTATTTCGGCCTCGGCTCGTAGAGAACGGGTGCACTATTCTGAGGATGATGAAGATGATGATGGTGATGAGGAGGAGGAGGAGGAGGAGGAGGATGCAGATGAGGATGTGGACGTGGACGATCAGAGTGGACCATATGATGATTACGGTCCATTCAGTCAGAGGCTTGATGATGTGTATGAGACGCGTAGGGTAGACGTGCGTAAGGGTAGAGATGGTAGATTTGTTAGTAGATCTGGCACATCATCTGCGTCCACTGTGTCTGCGGTTAGCAGAAAACGGTCGAGGGCCGTTAATGATTCTTGGGTGGTGAGGGGCGAGGTGGCTGGGGGACCTATAGACGGGAGTGTGATTCCTAGCTTTCTAGGACACATCGCTACCCGTATTTGGGAGGACCAAGAGCGGGCTTTGGATAGCGGCATTTTGAAATGCCAAACCCGGGAGAGGACTTGTAACTTCTTGTGTAGTTGGGCTGAGGCTTGGCCGGAGGAGAGCGAGATGGTCGGCCGATTGAGGGGCACTAGAGTGAGCCACCTTCCTGCCACCATGCATGAGAGGATTGACTCGACGCTGATCACGGCTTTCGTTGAGCGATGGCAGCCGGACACAAACTCTTTCCACCTTCCGTTCGGTGAGATGACGATCATGTTGCATGACGTCGAGGCCATCCTTGGGATTCCCGTAGAGGGAAACCGAGCATCTGTTGTCACAGATGCGGATCAGGCAGATTTATTGGCGGAGCTGTTGGCGGTGGATAGGGCTGCGCTGTACACAGCGGCACTTGGTGTGTGGGATCACGGCGGTGTTAAGATCGCAGCAGTTTTGCAGCGATGTTTGCACCCCACTTCACGTAGGACGCAGGACACACAGCTGGCTGCATATGTTTTTCTTCTTCTCGGGTGTACCTTGTTTCCGGATAAGAGCGGAAACAAGCTCAGGCCACGCGACATAGTTGACGCGTGTGAGCCCGACAGAGTAGGCCAGTTTTCTTGGGGGTCGGCTACATTAGCGTACATGTATCGCCAGTTAGGATTCTCGAGCCGGGCTGATGCGGCAGGTATCACTGGATGTATGACGTTGTTACAGACGTGGATATACGAGTATTTCCCGGCGTTTCGACCACACCGCGACCCGGTTCCTATTGGGGATGGCCAGCCACGTGCCTGTGCGTGGAGTCCGCGTGTCGAGAAGAAGTCCATTGACCGCCTGCGATCGATACGGTTATTGCTTGACAGGATGTCCCCATTAGAGGTAAAGTGTTTAAATTATTTCTACTTTTATAGTTTGATGTGTTTATTGTATGAATCTTACTAATTTTAAAAAATGTGCAGGTGAACTGGATGCCTTTCGGCCAGAACCCTAGTAATAGGGTACCCAGGACCCTCTACACGGGACTGATTCAGTATCGTGAGATCGTAGAGGCGTACATGCCGCAGCGCTGTCTTCGCCAGCTTGGATATGTCCAAGTTGTTCCTCCTCCACCAGCATGGCCCAGTAAGGCCGTCCGATCTGCGTCGTCGAAGGAGTACGTCGTCCAATGGCCGGCAAGCATGATTGGCACGTGGGAGCAATTTCCGATGGTTGCCCGCATATGGATTGAGCAGCTGCAACGGCCGCCAACTGGGGTGGCTGCCATGTGTGACCAGCACTACATGGAGTGGTACAACCGGCACTCGCACCCGAGGTTGATCAGAGACGTCCACCACGGCGACGACGCCGATGATGATGATGTGCCACCGCCCACTGCCGTGGATGCGGTACGTCTCATAAAACATTTGTAGTTGTGTTTTTTTTCATATAATACGTCGTTATTGAATTTTATGTGTTTTGTTATGTGTAGTGGATGGGAAAGATGACGCAGTTGGGACACAGACTTTTTGAGGAGAGGGACAACATGACGACTGCAACAGGCAGAGCTGTTATTGATGAACTGGAACGGGCCCTTGAGCAGTGGCAGTGGGTGTCACAGAGAGATTATTGATATGTCGGCAGTGCATTTATATAACATTTTCCTAGTTGTTTGTAAAAGTTAACATTATCTATTCTTATAATTATTATTTTAAGTTCTTAGAATTTGACATTATATTTTTAGTTTTTATAATTTTTATTTTAAGTTGTAATTAGTGGGCATACGAAAATTAAATACAAGTTCACATTTAAATGGGAAAACTAAATACGAAAATTAGAATCCGAAAATTAAATAAATGGGAAAAACATAGCAATAACAATAGAAGGTCACATAGAAAAGGCAACTAGATTGTTCCACTGCTGCACCCGGTCATGATATAGCGCATCCCAGCCCTCTACGCTTGCTGTACGAATGGTGTACCACGTTGGTATGATCGGTGGGACCGGAAAATCGGGTGACAGGTCCAGTCGGATGAAATGTCTGTATGACGGCCCCAGAAATCCAATAGCAACCTCTCTTACCGGTCTGGTGACGGTCTCACGCGAACACCAAGGCAGAACCGTGGTACATGGATAGTAAGCTCCACCATGCAAACCAAGGCCGAAATGCATCACTGCACACTTGTAGATGTTTGCAACGGCGAAGAGATCAAGTGGCGCGTCGAACCAATGATTTTGACCGCAACGTCCTCCTCCCCACCGGATACGCTGCAGAGACCTATCCAAGTCCTGTCCGTACACGTGGCGATAAACAGCTCGGTTTGAGGCGATTTCACTGTACATCAACTGACGCACTAAACCGTAGTTGTCTTCACCCATCTGAAACACATCAGCCACAACCCGAAATCCGCAGTTACCATCTGCAACCACATCATTCCACCCGTCCAGGAACGGCATCATGATGTTAGGGATCCTGTCTTTATATGGAAAATGTTCAATGTCCATTCTACCTGTTGCACACATCAAAAAACACAATTAACAAGTCAGCAGAAAACTAAACAAACACTCTAAAAAGTAAATTAAACTAAAGTACCGTACCGGTGCCGGGCATATTCACCGACGAAGAAGTTTGACTACCACTTGATGACGATGTACGACCACGGCCACGACCACGACCACGACCACGAATGTACTCAAACGCACTCCTTTCCCGCCGTGGTTGTCGGCCCCGTGGTCGCTCGACCCCCTCAGGTTCCTCATGATCCAAGCACGACGAGTTGAACATGTCATGAAGTACGTGGGTAGCACTACGAATGATTGAAGGGTGGCTGGAGGACACTTGGTCAAACATCGAACGAAACTGCTCCAACTCCTCCTGTTCACGGTTGACTGTCTGTGGAACAGCATGCTCTCCGATAACGAGCGTCCGCCAGAATGGATGAACCTGATCAACATGTAACGACGCCCTATCTTGCGTAATTACGCGGTGAATGGTGCATGCACAAGGTAGTCCATGAGTCACCGATATAGCACATCCGCACCGAATAGCCACTTCATCACCCAACTCCCTCATCCTGGTGTGCTCGCTCAGAATCAACCCCAAGCAGTAGTGTGACACACGACCATGGAGAATCTTAAATATGAAATGGCTATACATCGTGCCATGTCGCCGTCTGGAGTCCTCGAGAGAGTTCTTGATGCCGTTCCTCTGAGTATCAATAGCCTTGTTTATTCTCTCGAACAGTGTATCCAGAGCAGAGGTGGAAGAATCAATCCAGTCCTTCAGAGCTCTATGAGCGCTCTCAACTCTACATGTAGTAGTGTTTCCAAAATGAAGAACTTGGTTTGTCCAATATTTGACAAACTTTTCCCTCTGAGGCACCCACTGCTGCATCACATAGTCTACGATTGCCGGGCACCATTGGTATGCATCCTTGAAGTTATCCAAGGCTCGGTCGTACTCTGCCTCCGTGGTAGCTTGCAGGATCTTCCGCCACTTACCATTTACCAATCTCTCTGCTGAATCTAAGTTCTTGTTGAAAAGGTTGTAGGCTTTGACTTTCACGCAGTTGTTGATGTGCCATGTGCACAGTAAATGGCTCGACTCCGGAAACAGCTCCGCTATAGGGGCAAAGAGACCTCCCTCACAATCGCTGACGATGGCCGATGGCTGAACACTTGGGCCGATGTAATTTCTCAACTTCTCCAACACCCAACGGTAACTCGCAACCGTCTCATCCTTCATAACTGCATAACCAATCAAAAAGTTCTGGTTCGTTGGAGTCATCCCAACCATCTCAACCAGTGGAAACTTATACTTGTTTGTCTTGTACGTTGAATCGATCAGAATCACAGATGGCCAAGACGAAATCATATCAGCACAATCAGGATGCACAAGGAACAAATGAGTCACCTCCGATGTGTCTTCATCAGATTCAAACCAGTACAGGTAACCACGTGCTTGTGCCTGGTGTAGAAGCTGCTGTATAGGGTTCCTTCCCTCTGACCGTTCAAACCTCAATTTCTGTCTGACGTTGTAGATGTGTCTTCGGTTTGGCTGGTCTTCAGGAAATTTCTCCAACACAGATGCTAATATTTTAGCAGGCTTCACTTGAGCATCACTCATTTCTTTTACAATTAGTTTCGCACCAGGACTTAGGCCACTTAACTGTCGATGACCCACTTCATATGCGATCATCTCATGGTTGTGATACCCCCATTTACCGTAACTCTTCACTTCCCAACCGTCACCCCTTTGCTGTTGTCGAACCTTTACTCTGAACTGACACCCACAACCTTTTCGCTTTGTATCAAACCGAATCGCTTGACTGAAATCTCGTTCCTCCCTTTTGCGATAATGGTCGCATCTCAAAATGCGATCCATTCTACCATCCCGTTGAGATTTATGAGTTGCTACTACTAAACAAAAACCTGATCTAATTGCAACATGTTTCGCCCAATCAACCGCTTGTTGAGCATCTTCGAACAGACCATCGTGTACAAAAATCCCACTATAATCATTTCCGTCTCCACCATAATCCTGCAACAATAACATATAAATATAATCACATAAGATTAGATTAAATTAATACATTTGACACAACATTAGCACAAAAGCAAAAACAATAATAAAATATAAACAACAAACAAAGAAATAAAAAACATAAACAAAAAGTATTCAAAAAAAAAAAAAAAAAAACAAAACACAAAAATAAAAAACATAAACAAAACTTTAGATTAAATAAAAAAAAAACCAAAAAAAAAAAAAACAAAAAAAAACATAAACATAAAAAACATAGCGATCAAAAACACAAAAATCAAACACAAAATTTTACATTACATTTTAAAACAATTAAAAACAAAACAAAAAAAAACCAAAAAAAAACGAAAAAAAATTGTAACACAAAAAAAAAAAAAAATAAACAAATTTTAAATTAAATTAAAAAAAAAAAAAAAAATGCAGTGGCGCCTAGCCAGGACGCCGCTACCGTGGCGGTGGCGTCTAGCCAGGACGCCGCCACCGTGGCGATGGCGCCTGGCCAGGACGCCGCTTTCATGGTGGCGGCGTCTTGGCTAGACGCCACGACCACGGTGGCGGCGTCCTGGCCAGGCGCCATACCTACGGAGGCAGCGTCCTGGCTAGGCGCCACCACTACGGTCACGGCGTCCCGGCAGGACGCCAGCCGCCAATTCGTGGTTTTAGATGGCTTCGTACCTCCTTTTCCGGCGTCAACGACGTCTCTCCGGTGCATCTAGCCGACGTTGAGGGCTCTTCGGTTTCACTCGGCGATCCAGTCCTGCTCCACATTTTTGGTGAGTGAAAATTTTCATTTTCGGTAAAAATTAAAACAAGGGCAATAATGTCAAAATTTTTAAAAAATGTGGGCTTTATGTAGAAAAACGCGGGCGATGTTTAACAAGTCCCCTCCCGAAAACCCCCAACAACCACCTCCTCACCGTCGAAAACCCCCTCCAACCATTCGAAACACCCTCAAAGCAAATTGGATGGAAGTTTTCAAAATGGGTAGTGGAGGGTTTTTATAGGTGGTTGCGTGGGGATTTTGGGGAGGGGACTGTGGCTAAGGGGAAGCGTCGGAGCGGCGAGTCTAGTGGTGGGGGAGGGACGAAGGTTCGACGACCGGGTGGCTGGGCTATGGTGGTGGCGGGTTGCCGGAGTTGTTCTTAGGGTGGTTGGGGTTTTCGTAGGCTGGGTAATTTTTTTTTATCCAATTACTGTACGACACGTGTCATTTTATTAAAAAAACCCATTGAACCGGTAACCAGTATTTGGGATTGAAGAAAAATAACTACCCCCAAAGTTCGGATTATTCCAGTATAATTCAAAGTTGGGATTATTCTACGAAAATTGTTGAAAGTTGGGATTATTTTTCTAATTTTTCCAAATTTTTTTTGGGTTCAGTAAGATATACTCCCTTCATTTTTAAATATTTTCTTCACTTACCAATTTCGACCGTTTTTAAATACTTGCTCCATATACTTATTTGGAATACTTTTACAATATTTAAATCATTTTTCTCATCTGGTGGACCCAACATAAATCATATTTTATTAATTTTATATTCTCGCTCCTCCAATTCTATCAACTACTTTTACTTTTTATAATTTTTTTTTATTTTTCCTCCTACTCCATTATCTTCATATTTTATTATTTTATCTTAAAATTCTGTACATGGAAAAATGAAGCACTTATTTAAAAATAGAGGGAGTACCAACTATTTATATTACAGAACATTCTAGCAGCAATAAGGTTTTACAATAGTATTGTTTAGGTCCATATTTTGGGCCAATCAATGTAATGGCTAAAAGCCCAATAGCTTAATAATGATTCAAACACTTGTATCCACATTACACAAGTCCTATATTGGATTCGAACCCAAATCTTTTATGTATTTGCACAAACCTCTACCTGTTGAGCTAACAGGCTATATATAAAATATTTAACTAAGTAAATTGCAATGAAGATTGACATAAATAAGGTGGGTTCAATATATTGCCTACATTGTTTTTGAATAATAGACCATACTACAAAAATAGTCTTCATATACCCCTTCTGTATTTTAATAAGTGTTACATTTTGACCGTCATAGACCATTTAATTGACTTAAAAAAAAATAACAGGTAAGTGGGATAGTTGGAATATTATAAAATTATAAAAAGGAAGATAATGGGGGTAATAATTTATTGAAAAGTACTCTTCCCACAGACAACGCTAAATGTTTTGGGTGTTTTTG